CTGCCTCTAAAAACCCACTGGAAGGCCAAGTATGGGTTTGTTCTGACTCTGTGGTATAAAACAACAACAATATATATTACCCTGATGGTCCATTAGACTAAGCATTGAACTTCTAACTAAACAGCTGCCTCTAGCAGATTTTCATGAGTCTGTAAAGTGCACAGAAGTAGTGGGGGAGGGCAACAGAGATTGCCATATTTCTGTCCTGGAGTTGTGGGTTAACTCTGGTCCCACCAGAGAGGCCCAGCTTTGGGTTTGTAATGAAACTCCCTACAGACTATAGCACCAGAGCTCCCTAGAAATCCAATGAGGCCATGGTTCGAATCCACCAGATGCTCTGCTGGAGAAGGAGGAACAATCTCCTCCTGTATCTGTCAGATCTGATTTGACGATACAAAAAAAAGTAATAAAATAAAATAAAAATTTAAAGAAAATAATTTTTAAAAAAAAGAAATCCAACGAGGCAGTTCTAATATTTCCTATAGCATTGCATTATAGTCAGCATTCAACTCAATGACTGTGGATTTGGCTTGTATATAGAATTTACACATATATTCAACAGTCAAAAAGAAAAAAAAATCAGAAGATGTGTTGCATTAGGAAAATCTGCTGTCGAGGGCATCTCTAAAGTGCTGAAGAGCAAGGAGGCCAGTTTGAAGACTAAGGTGTGCTTGACTCAAGCCATGGTCTTTTCAATTGCTTCCTATGGATCTGAAAGTTGGAAAAGAGAGAGGATGACTGGAGAAGAATTGATGCCGTTGAGTTGTAGTGTTAGTTAGAGAAGAGTACTAAACATCCCATGGACTATCAAAAAGATAAACAAGTATGTCTTAGAAAAGGCAGGGTGCTCCTTGGAGGCAAGGACATATATTTCATCTCACATACTTTAGCCATGCTGTCAGGAGGTGCCAGCTCACATATAAAGCTATCATGCTGAGAAAGGCAGAGTCAGCGAAAGACAGAAAGATCCTCAAAATAGTGGACTTACAGATAACTACAATGGACTTGAGCCTATCAGAGATGGTAAAAGGATAACATAAGACAGGGCAAGGTTCAGAGCTGTTTTTCAAAGGGCTGCCATGAGTCATAGTCAACTCAATTGTACCTAACAACTGCCAGGTGGCAGGCTGAGGTTAAAGGAAAACTATACCCTACTGGATATAATTCCTTGCCTTCTAGCACAATACACATAAGCAAAGAACATGTTCTAGATGCCAACAACCTAGTATAGATCTCCAGTAACATTCTCCAACCTGAGCCGACAATGACAGAACAAGTCTCTAGAAGGCCACAAACTATGCAGCCCTGACCTGGGTCCAAATTATCCAGAGTGCCTCACAATCCCTTAAACAAAGTCAGATGGTGACCAAGCTGTCCACTGTTTCCTGTGTGCCTCTTTACAACAACCTTTGCTAGCATCAGTACCAATCAATTTCTCTAGACCACACTCCACCAAAACACCTCAAGCCATTCCATCAGCCCAAACAGAGTGCTTCACCATTCCAGGACACATTGTCTTCTGAGAACCAGAGCCTGATAAGCAGACTAAGCCCTCTCATATCTGCTACATACCTTCCTCTTTTATACCCTCTTCAGTGGAACATGGAACTGTAAACTTAATGTTAGCATAAACAAGCACACTGTAGTTGAACCAGACAACACTTTTAGTGTAATGAGATTCTATACTGAATTCCACCACAAAAGGCTCTGTTTCTCTCTAACAGTCGTACCCCAGCTCACCTTGTGTAGTGAAATTGAATTACCCTGGCTTCTCCTCGCTCTCTGAATTAAAAAAGCAGCATCTCTCCCAATCATAGTTGGATTCAGTCTAGCGTCCCTCTAACATCAGCTGACATTGCTGGCACAAGTTGCTCTCCAAAGTTAAAAAACTCTAGACCTCCTGACTGCCAAGAAAGGGAGTACCTGCTTAATCCTAAAAGAGGAGAACTGTCACTATATAAATGAATCAGGAATAGTAAAATCACAACCTTCTCCCAAATTGGCTCGAAAGACCCATTTCTAGCCTAAATTCTTCCTTTTCTAAGATCAATAGTAATCATAAGCATATTGTTGTTATGTCTAAGTCTCTTTAAGTTCTTACTTCACAGGGTCAAGGAGATGATCAACTTAATTCTTCCCTGGCCACTGATCCCAGACCAACTCACTCTGGCCTCTGAGCCCCCAGATCTTCACCCTTGTTCAGCAGTAAGTAGTTAGAATAAAAATATGTCACACTGTTTATCCCTAAAGTGTCTGGAATGTTAGGTCTGGACAGGAGGGCCAAGGGGGAGAATAAAGAATGCAAAGACTACACACATCAACAAGAAGAGTGAACGGCCCCCACCCACCTGGCCAAACTAAGGGATGAAACATAAATCACAATGGAATGTTCCTCCCTTTCCTCCCTAAAGACTCTGTTATAAAAATCCTTCCCAATAAGTTCAAAGCATAACTTCCTCAGTCTGTATCTTCAGAATGAGGAACCTCACCTGAGAACATCCCTAATAAAGCTTCTTTTAACCCTTCTCTTATTCTCTGATTTCTTTCTTAAGTCTGGTAAGCTAACAACATATATATTACAGTTATATACTACCTTGTTCCCAAAGGATTGCAAGAAAAAATAATAACTATACTCCAATCATCATGTCTAAACAGTATCATGAATGGGAATTATTCAGATTATTGGTATCTCCAAAATACTGAAGAATAATGATGTCAGTCTGGAGACTAAGGTGCGCCTGATCCAGGCCATAGTCTTTGCAATTACTTGCTATGCATCAGAAAGCTGGACAATGACTAAGGATGAAAGAAAGAGAATTGATGCCTTTGAGCTGTGGTGCTGGAGAAGAATAATGAATATACCATGGGCTGCTAGGAGAACAAACAGGTTCATCCTGGTGAGGTTGAGACCAGGCTGCTCTTTGGAGGCAAGGATTCTGAAGCCCAGTCTGATATACTTTGGACATGTTGCAAAGAGGGACCAGTTGCTGGAGAGAGATGTCATGCTTGGGAGGGTAGAGGGACAGGGTAGGAGAGGAAGACCCTTGATGAGACAGATTGATTCAGTGACTGGGGTAATGGGACAGGTGTGTCAGAGACAATAAGACTGGCACAAGATAGAGCAGGATTTAGGGCTGTTGTACACGGGGTCGCTATGAGTCACAGGTGACTCAACAGCACATAACAACAATAACAACAACAATTCTTAACTAATCTACTTAACTAGGATAAATATTCCACATACTTCTTTATTACTGGAGTAACTAAAACAAAAGTATAATTTTTCATACTTAACTGCATAAATTAACATAGTAAGAGCCAAGCAACATTAATGCAAATGCTATAGAGGTATATAACAAAAAAAGTACTATTTATTAGCTGTATCAAACATTGATAAGCATCAGAATTCCCTGGACACAATTTAAGGCTATAAATAACTATCAGAGTATGAATCAGGAGTTTTAACTGTAGGTGTAACAGACTCTTCAATATACATCATACTTAGGAACTTCGCCGCCAGAGAACCGTTGATTTTCCTAGTTCCTCTCTTCCAGCCTCGGATCGGTTGTTGAGATGGCCCATGGAAATCAGAGAGAACTTGCCCGCCAGAAAAACTTGAAGAAAACCCAGGAGATTGTTGTTGTTGTTGTTGTTATGTGCCGTCGAGTCGTTTCCAACTCATAGCGACCCTATGCACAACAGCCCTAAACCCTGCTCTATCCTGTGCCAACCGCACTGCCTCTGACACACCCATCCTGATTACCCCAGTCACTGAATCGATCCATCTCATAGAGGGTCTTCCCCTCCTGCGCTGTCCCTCCACCCTCCCAAGCATGATGTCCCTCTCCAAGGACCCGTCCCTCCTGGCAACATGTCCAAAATATGTCAGACAAAGCCCCAGAATCCTTGCCTCCAAGGAGTAGCTTGGTTTAATCCTCTCCAAGATGAATCTGTTTGCTTTCTTGGCAGTCCATGGTACATTCAGTACCCTTCGCCAGCACCACAGCTCAAAAGCATCCACTCTCCTTCTGTCCTCCCTAGTCATTGTCCAACTCTCTGATGCATAACAAGCGGTTGCAAAGACCATGGCCTGTATCAGGCGCACCTTAGTCTCCAGAGAGACACTGTTGCTCCTGAGTACCTTTGAGAGTTCCCTAACAGCAGACTTTCCCATCATGATACGCTTTTTGATTTCCTGACTGCTGGTGCCAAGAGTGTTGACTGTGGAGCCAAGCAAACTGAAGCTGTGAACACTCTCAATCTCTTCGTCATCCATCCTGACGCTGCCAATTGGTCCAGTGGCGAGATTCTTTGTCTTCTTGACATTGAGCCTCAGTCCATACTGAAGGCTGCAGTCCTTGACCCTTCGCAGCAAGTGCATGAGGTCCTCCTCAGTTTCAGCAAGCAGGGTTGTGTCATCTGCATAATGCAGATTGTTAATAGATCTTCCACCAATCCTGATGCCACAATTCTCCTCATAGAGCCCAGCTTCTCGGATAGTCTGCTCTGCATACCAGGAGATTAGCAAGGGAAAAAGAAAAGAGGACAGTTTGACTGCCTCTCAGAGAAGGCAGAGGGATTCAGAGATCATGCAACAAAAGCAGAAGGCAGCTAATGAGAAGAAGTCTTTGCAGATCAGAGAAAAATGAAGACAAGCTAATTTGGAAAACCTGGGTGCTATTGCCAACTAGATGTACCATACACCCTAAGATCAAGGTTTTGCAGAGTGAACAAACAGTCATTACATATGTTATCATTTATCCTTATAAAACAGTCTGATCTGATTTAGTGTGATGTTTTAGAACTCCTCTTTGAAAAATAAAACACCAACCATGCATGTAAAAAAAAAATATACATCATACTTAGGAACTTACTATTAACAATAATGGTCACAGACTTAGGTTGAGAAAATTAGCCAACATGTTTTTTAAAAGGCTCAGTAAAAACTAAAAGACCAAAAACATAATCGTGTTTTAAAACCAAAACAAGAAAATGCTTACTTTTATGAGCTTCAGCATTTGCAACATAGATGAACCCATCTACAACCTCACACACCTTCTGAATCTGTGGGATCACACTGTACCGGCTTCCTTGCTGATCATTCCCTTCATTCTGTAGACTGAACATCTTATTAACTGCACTTGTGTGCTCTTCTCTGGCTCGATCTCTCTCCTTTCTGTAAGAAAAGTGTAGAAAAGAAACAACAATCCATAAACAGATATTAAACAGGTTCCATTTCCCTAATATGTTCCATTTCTGGAGTCTCAGGTAAGCCACCAAATAGGTTGCCTTACCTGGTAGTTGAATACAGTATCAGGATATTGAATTTATGTTGATTACTCAGTTGAAAATTGACTCCTGATCCAATGCCTAGAGTATACAGTTGGAATATGAAAACAAGTCATTATTAAATGAAAAGGCCAGACCAAAAAGATAATATCCAGTGACAGCAAAGAGCAAACAGTAAACAAAATCTCCATGAAAAATCACCCATAGCTTTGGAGTTGATTACAATGTTTATATTGGATAAAAAGTTCCTATGTGCAATTTTCACTTATGAAACAATACAATTACTGATGAATGTCCTCATCCAGATCCTGTTACCATTTTTTCAAAGAGATGGAGAAGTAATGACCAACTTTTTATGGAAAGGAAGTCACCTCAGAGGAGCAACTAATCCTGAAGAAGGAAAACACGGTAGGAGCCCTTCCACTTCTATCTCAAAATCTACTCCTCAGCCACAGGAATAAAGCACATCTTGGTATTGGCACAATGGCAGGTACATAGACCAAGAGATTAAAATTGAGAACCCAGAAACATATTTACCTACTTACAGGCAACTGATCTTGGACAATGAAATGAAATTCATTAAGTGGGGAAAAGACTGTTTCTTTAACAAATGGTGCTAGCAAAACTGGATAGCTATTTGCAACAAGTAAAACAAGACACATAACTCACATCATATGCAAAAACTAATTCAAGACAGACCAAAGTCCTAAGCATAAAATCTACAATTATAAAGATCATCAAATTAAAAATTGTGGTAAACGTCAGATCCCCAATCAGTGACAAAAACAAACTATCAAATATAACTGAAAATACACAATCAACAGATGATAGGCCAGATGATTTCAACTTCTATAAATTAAATCCTTATGTATATCAAAAGATTCCTCAGAGAAAGAAAAATGTAATACTATACATCCAAAGAGGGAAAGAGAGGGGGCAGAAGACATGAACAGACATGAACAGACACTTCACCAAAGAATTCAGAAGGAAAAAAACCCCAAAACTGTCTGAAGAAATGCTCAAGATCACTGGCTTTAGATAGAAATCAAAACAGTGAGATATCATTATATCATTACACTCCAGCAACAACCGAAAAGTTCCACTAAGACAACAAATAATAAGTGTTTGTGGGAGTGTAGGGAAATTGGAACGCTATACAATTCTATAGTGAAAAATGTAAAATGGTGTAACCGCTATAGAAAGCAGTATGGCACATCTTAAGATTTTGGACTCATGTACTTATAACTTGTTAGTCAAATTTGTGTTTCTTGGTTGCAACACCCCCATGATACATCTTCAAGGATATGAACATGCACGGCCAAGCACAATCAATAAGAGTGCATCTAAATTCCAAAATCAATCTCCATAATAGTCTATGTGTTTCCTACTGCCAAAGGGGCCCTTTAGAGTAGTGAGAGAAGATCTTCACCCTGAAACCCACAGCGTCCCTTTTCAGCAGGAAGTAGCTAAGAGAATACGCCATCCCCTTTTCCTTATGACTCAGGGTGAAGTCTCTCTCAGGGAGGAGTGATAGGGAATGGCAAAGGACACACTGACAAAGAAGATTAATCAGAACTGGCTTTGACAAGCACTGTGGCATTTGGACAAGAACAAACTGGGAGGAGGGTAGAGAGAATAGTGCAACAATGAATGAATGGAAACCCAAAATCTCTGTAAATGTTTATGAAAATTAATAAAATATAATTATAAAAAAAGAAAAAAATAAAATATATTGGGAATAGAAATATCATTTGATCCACCAACTTTACAATATATAAACCAAAGAAATAAATAGCTGCAACACAAAGTCTCACACACACATTTACACACAGAATAAATCTTAGAAGGTTATCAGGAATGGGAAGGGAAGGAGAGGGGAGTAAAAATGAAAAAAAAATAGAAAAGTTGTGTGAAAAGCAATGTAAGGTAAGGAATTTTTCAGATATTGTGATTAATCATTCCAATCTATTATAAGGGAGCCTTAGTGGTCTAGTAGTAAGGAGTTGTACTTCAAACTCAAAGACAGTTTGAATCCACCAGCAGCTTCGCAGGATAAAGGCAGGCAATCTCCTGCCGTGTCATTTACAGCTTCTGAAAACTCTCCACAGGGTAGCTGTAAGTCAGTTCTGACTCAATAGCACATAACAACAATCTGTTGTAATTAATGCTGTAAAACAAAATATCTATGATTGAATTAAAGAGGAATAGGACTTGTAAACTTTTACCTCAAAATTTACTTTTATTATTAATTTTTTAATTTTATACTGGTTTACTTATAATATTTTTTTAAAATATGGATGAATGGCATTATCATTCAACATGAAATCCAAGCCAGAAACCTGACATCATCCTTACAACTGTTAATACACTTTCAATAGTTGATTTTGTATCTTGATACTTTTTTCCTCACAGAAGCAAGCAAAAGGTGATGATGGTAAGCTCTTTTTGTAATTCCTATAGTTATCAGAGTATTGCACATAGTTGTTGTTGACTGCAATCAAGTCAAGTACGACTCATAGTATCCTGAAGAACAAAAGACCTCAAGTTTTTCTTTAACTATAGTCATTTTTCAAAGTTCATAGAGCTTCCAGGGGCATGTTGTTTAGAAAGTAGATGCCACTCCTGCTTCCAAACATGTCCTAATCTGGGAGCTCCACCAACCACTGTTCATCATAGACCAGTGCTGTACCACTGGGAAGAAGGTTCTCTAAATTATAATTTCACCAGGCCTGAGGCTCACAGGCCCAAGGGCCCAACCGACTTTTAAATACAAAGGCCCTCTAGGAGATGGTTATTATGTACTATAAAGTCAGAACTGACCCATAGCTGATCCTCCAGCTAGTTTTCAGAGGCAGTTAATCACACAGGAGGAGACTGTCCATTATTCCCCTGCAGAGCAGCTGGTGGCCTCAAACCACAGTCCTTCAGGATTGCAGCGCAGCTTCTTGCAAGTAGGCCACCAGAGCTCCCGCCAGGAGGTGGTGTTGACTCTAAACAAGAGGCTTAAATAAAAAACAATCAAGTATTCCACAAGACCCTCCACCTGAATCACTCTGGGAGCTTCACCAAACACTGCCCACGACGGGTAATCATGGCATTTGACACACCTGTGACACAGTGTTCATCATCATAGCAACTCCAAGTTAATTCAGAACAGAAAATCGAATACTGAAATAATTTTGCTTTCTTGTCAAATGGGATAAATTTGACAACATCTATTGTACAAATACATCTTGACAAAATATAATTTTGTTAAACATAATCTTAAATTCTATTATTCTGTACTGGGGAGTCAGAACAGACTCAGAGCTAATCTCCAACAGGTTTTTAGAGCAGCAAATCACATACGAGAGGATTCTGTGCATCTTTCTCCAAGAGAGTGCCTGGTGGAACCAAACCACTTGCCTTGAGATTGGCAGTGCAACTTCTTACCAGTAGGCCATAAGGAGGAAGCACATCTCCTATGATAAGGATATTCTTTGAGTCCATTGAGAAACAGGAAGGTGCTTCCCATCTATCAAGCTATTATATTTTTACTACATCAAAGAGTTATTTTCTATTTAACATTAGTGATAGGACCAATTGTTTGAATTATAATGTATTGTAGACTAACATAAAAATTACCATCAATTTGCCTCTGAGGTAAACCAGCAGTTGGGCAAAACTCTGTGGAAGACATCAAGCTCAGCACCAGAGATGTATTCAATTCTTCCAAACCTGGTCCAAACATAGCAAATCGTGGTTCATTGTGAAGGATCAGAGAGTGCAAAAAGGAGGTGACAGCTCCATACATAGGACGGCTGGATTTCAAGGCTCTTCTGGTATGCGGGCAGCACTTTTTATAGCTGTGTAAAAATGTCACAAACAGAAAGGTGGGTTGTTTTTTTTTTTAAAAAAAGAAAGGGGGGGGAAGCTGTATTTCATTATTCATTAAAATATTTAATGAAAGTTACTCATTAAAAGACATAATTTTTTGGATACCTGCTATCCTAAAGAAATACAATTACTATTCTATAGACCCAATCCTCAAAGAAGCCAGTAAAGATAAAGACAGGTATGACTATTATACAATGCATACCTAGGGTGTGACAGTGATAAATACCACAGAAGTGGTCTAGAAGTTAAGGAAATCTCCACTAATGGGTTACTTTCTTTCATTTACATTTTCTCATAAACATTTTTTTTAATATTTTTCTCATATTTGTTCAATGGTTAAATTTAGCATGCCCTAGATCAAGCACATGTTGATTGGAGTATTGATTGTGGAACCAAGCAAGCTGAAATTCTTAACAAATTAGTCTTTATACTGATATCATTGCTCCTTAGCACTCTGGCCAAGTCCTCAACAGCAGATTTCCCCAATGCAACTAGTCTTTTGATTTGATTGCTGGTATCAAAGGTGTTGATTGTGGATCCAAGTAAATAAAATTTTTGAAAACTTCAATATTTTCTATATCTATCTTGATGTTGCCTATTAGTCCAACGGGGAAGATTTTGCTCTTTTGAAGCAAGCATTTTAAAGTCTTCTGCAAGGGAGTTCTGGTGGCCTAGTGGCAAGAAGCTGTGCTGCAATCCTGAAGGCATGTGGTTTGAATCCACCAGATGCTCTGCTGAAGAAGGAGTGGCAATCTCATCTGGTGCCAGTCGGATCCTATTCGATGGTACACCACAACAAAAAAGTCCTCTTCATCTTCAGCAAGCAAGCTTACTATAAATCTCTAAACAGCAATGTTTACATTTTATCAAAAAGTAAAATAAAACCCAAAGCCTTTAAAGTCTTTAAATCCAAGTAGATAATATAATGATCAACCCAATAAGGTAAATCGTTATTTAGAAATTTTGTAACTTGAAGAGTAAAACAAACAGATTTGGAGTCAGTCACCTTTCTTATCCACCTTCAACACTACTACTTCATAGTAGTAACTCCAGTTTCTTCGTCTGCAGTTGTTTCTGTTGTTATGTGCCACTGAGTTGCTTGTGTCTCATAGCAACCCTATACATAATAGCTCAGAACACTGCGCTACCCTGAGCCAGTCTGCTTCCGACATATCTAAATAACCCTATTATCCCACTTACTGTGCCAATCCATATTATCCAGGGTGTTACCTTCTTGCATTGTCCCTCCAACCTCCCAAGCATGATGGCTTTCTCCAAGGACTGGTCACTCCTGGCAACATGTCCAAAGTATGTGAAATGGAGCTTCAAAATCTTCACCTCTAAGGAGCAACTTGGTTTTAACCTCTCAACCAAAAAAACTCAACTTTGTTTTCTTGGCAGTCCATGGTATGTTCCACACTCTCCTCCAGCACAACTCAAAGGCACTGATCCTTCTTCTGTCATCCTTAGCCATTTTCCAGCTGATGTATAGTAAGTAATTATAAAACCATGGCCTGCATCAGGCACACCTTAGTCTCCAGACTGACATTGTTGCTCTTCAGCACTCTGGAGAGGTCTGTGACAGCAGATTTTCCCCATGCAATTTGTCTTTTAATTTTCATAGTGCTGATACCAAGACTGTTGATTGTGGAACCAAGCCAGATGAAACTGTTAACAATCTCAACCTCTTCATCATGGTGCTGACAATTGGAGCAGTAATAACCAGCTTGGGCTAGAAGAACTAAAAATAATGTATATGATCATATGTGGTAGTTACTATTACTACTACTATTCTCTATTCAGGGAGCTCTATTATCTATTCACGTAACCTATTCTATTCAGGCAAGAAGTAGTGCTGTGGCAGCTGTTCCAAGGAAGAAAAATGGGCAATCTCCTACTGTGCCTCTGAAAACCCACCATTAGGTCAGCTATGAGTCGGTTCCAACTCGATGATACACAATAACATTCTCAAATAGGGTCTGGTGACCTAGTCCATAGGGAGTTATGCTTCTAACCCAATGGTCTCTGACAATTCGAATGCACCAGTGACTCCTCAGGAGAAAGATGAGCAATTTACTCCCATGTAATTTATAGCCTTAAAAACCAATTTATAGCTGTGAGTCAGTTCTGATTTGACAGCAATGATGAGGGGCTAGAGGGAGGGAAGATGGTTGGTTGTGGGGCATCAGGAGATAATAAGCATAATGTTGGGGTATACTGACACTTTATCTATAGCATCACATGATTTAATCAAGGTAGCTCACAGGATTGATGTACTTAATTTGAATAAGAAAAAACTCTGAATAACCTAAATAAAATAAGAAAAAATACTGTTTGTAGCTACTGGATCTAGTACAGCAAAATAATTCTTGCAACAAAAGTATTTTTTTCTGCACGCCACATACATGGAGAACATGCTTAAGAATTCACCAGGATGAAAAACATTTCATTTAACAAAAAAAAAAATCTCTTGAATGACAACAATCTGAAACCAGAGGCTCACTGCAGGCTGGGCTGGGGAGGGGAAGAAACTGTGCAATGATGAATAAAAAACAAGAAAAACCTCTTCTTCCTATTATTGGTAGCTCCTGAATGTTAGATAATTTTTTTTCCCCATGGAGTCAAAAGGCACCAAAGTATATGATTAAGTGAATGGAAAAAGAGGGGGCAGAAATCAGATATTGTCAGTTTTTCCATTTTCATTTGTGTGTAGATTTCTAGTAAAAATATGGGGACATAAAACATTATTACAAGTAAAAAAAATAAATGTTTCTATGAACAAGTTACAGCACCTCAACTTTTTAACAATTATAAATAAATCTATTAAATTTGTCTGGACAATACAAGCATTTAGATTTCTTTTAAAAAAAACCAAAACAACTATATTTCTTATCGATGGCAATTAAATAGTGTTTGTTGCATTTTTAGCATACAGTAGAATCCATCCATTCACTATACTTTTCTGAGAGGTCGTGCATGCAAGTACATGTTTTAATGTTGTCTGTCTTCTGTGCTGTTCTGTAAGTTTGCTATTAAAATACATTAAACTATATTTTAAAAAATTCTATTTTACTTGCAATGCCATAACTTTGGAGAGGTACCCCCATTTATATCCAGATCCATTACATGATACATCTTTGAGGTAGCTTGATGGAGTTGCAATCTGAAAGTCTTTTACAAACCCCCTGGTCTAAAGCAAATTAAGTGATTTCTTTGAATCTTAACTCTCCATCCATAAAACAAGGACAAGATCTCCTTGTTACAGGATGACTGAGTAAAGAGACGTTAAGGCTTCTCCCCCAGGACCTAGCACACTGTGGGTGCTCAGTGACAACAATCCTCTGTGACCTCTGTGAAATTTGAAAGTGGCGATGCTTGTGAGCACTGGCACAGTTTTATCTCCCTGAGTCATGCTGTCTCCTTACTAAAGAACCATTGTCTGATCTCTGGCCACTCTTTCTCTGAAAGTATACAGTAAGCTATTCAGTAAAAGGGAGCTCTGGTGACCTAGAGGTAAGGAGTTACGCTGCCAACCCAAATGTAGCTGGTTCAAATCCATCAGCTGCTCTGCAAAAAAAGATGGACTGACAGTCTCTGAAAACCTGAAGGGACAGCAATAACTTGATTCAGATGTGATGACACATAATAACAACAATTTAGGAAAAAAAAATGTTCTAAAGATTAAAAAAACTGCAAAAAAATTCTTGCTTCTTTTCCATTGGTGCTGTCTAAAATTACTTAAACAACCAGCTAGGAATCATGGAGAAATAATCTTTGAAAGTGGAAAACTGAAGAAGGAAATCACTTATATCAAACTCAATTATTGTAAGAGAACATTTCTTGTTGTTTATAGAGTGGAAACTGACCCATAGCTGACCCTTTGTGTTTTCAGAGGCAGTAATCTCAGGGGAGGAGAGGAAGGAGATTACTCATCCTTCTCCTATGAAGCAGTTGAAGGCCTAGAACAGCATGTCTTTGGGACTGCAGCATAGCTTCTTGCCACTAGGCCACCTGAGCACTTTAGGTCCTAAATTAGTGAAACTAATTAGTAAAACTACAAGGTCTAAGTCAGTAAAATGTCAGTCTTGTTTATTATTATTTATAAAATGATGCACTTACACTGCCATATAGTCAAAAACTGCACCATCCGTGACTTCAGATACTGGCTTTTTTAAGATTTCTAGATCTGGAAGAGACTTCCAGTCAACAGAAGACCAAGAAGGAAGATCTCGCAACAGAAAATATCTCCAAAGAATTGGATCTCGAACAGTTTCATTCCAATAATGATTTGTACTTCCCAAATGGCACAGATCATGAGGTGAAAGAAATGACAAAATAAAAAGCTGTACATCAATCTGAAAAAGAAGGAAGAAGTAGTTAGGGAAAAGGGCTGAGTCATTTTCCCAGGAACATTGTTTTTTGATGCTAAATCGCAAAATTAACAAAGAGTTGCTGTTATTATTATGCTAGGTAACCAAAGGTAGATTCAAAGTTCTGTTTGATAATTGTTACACTGCATTTGCAAGGAGAATAACTGAACAGTTCATTTTTAGTACACTGAAATATTTCTGAAGAAAATAAATCACTCTCCTGCTATTTGTGAAGAGAGTCTGTTTTTCTCTGGTATTTTAAACAAACTGTTTACTTGAATAAACTGCTTATTCCTCAAAATAAAATTTCAATCAAATGGGTAAACTTCTTACCACAGTATCAAATCAAATCACAGAAGGTTTGTCATCTAAGGTCTTCAATGAGTTAAATTATTGCAAAGAATGGCATTGTAAACCTGCAGTTTTTAAAGTCAGCAGTTAAGAGATCAAGAGTAAGCTGTCAATAGTTTTGAAAGGAAGAGTTTTAGAAATTTTTGATTCATCGTGTTCCTGTCAATCTTAAAAATGTCTCCTGACAAATGTGTAAATCCGCGTGTCCTGTCAAAACTCGAGGGGCTTTTATGTGCAGTTTAAGTCACATAATTTTAATTACGTGACAGGCGATGACAGTAAATGTTGAATGGCTGGATAAACAATGTGATCAGCGTTTGTTTTGGGTGTTTTGATTCGAAATACCGCCTTTCAGGGACCCAACAGACGTAGAGCTGACCAGACAGTCTGGATGGACGTCCAGGCTCTGGTTCGGTTCCAGGTGGCAGAAAGCCATGGGTAGTGGGCTGGTCAGTGTCACCATGGCCGGATGTGAAACAGCAGCGGGTAAGCGCGGGGGAATTTGTGGTCAATTGCTGCTTCTTAGGTGGTGACACTGCCCTCAACGGCTGCAGGGCCCGGGCGACCCCGATCTGGGGTGTGGAGCAGCTCCAGTCCCCCCGACATCCACGGCCGGCGGCCCTGCTGGCCGGAAGGCCACGCTCACCGGCAGCCGGGTCAGGGCACTGGCCTCCTCGTCCGCCTCCTCCGGGGCCGCCGCTGCCGCCCTCTCCTTGCCCACCGACTGCCAGAAGGCTCTCCAGCCACTCCTAATGGCCGCCTCCAGGCGCCCCCAGTCGCTAAAGGACGTGGTGGGGGAGCTGGCTCGGCTGCGTGGTTCGCTTCCCGCCATAGCCGCCTGCGCCGGCGCGTCGCATCCGCCGCCAACCTAAGGCTTCGCTCAGAGCCCGCGCGGCGCGGGCCGGCAGGGGACGAGGGGGGCGGGTTCCGTGCCGCGCTCCCTCCTCCCTCCAATACCGCGCGGCGCAGGCCGGCAGGGGACGAGCGGGGCGGGTTCCGGGCGTGCGGGCCGCGCTCCCGCCTTCATCCACTGCGCGGCGCGGGTTCCGAGCTGCGTGCCCGGCTTCCTCCTCCCTCCAATACCGCGCGGCGCGGGCCGGCAGGGGACGAGCGGGGCGGGTTCCGGGCGTGCGGGCCGCGCTCCCGCCTTCATCCACTGCGCGGCGCGGGCCGGCAGGGACCCCTCTGAGGCGGGTTCCCGGCGAGCGAGCCAGGTTCCTCCCCTCCGGTCCCCTGATCCCGCAAGGCGCGGGGCCGGCCGATGGGCCCTCTGGAGCGGGTTCCGGGCGTGCGGAGCGGGCTCCCTCCTCCCTCCGCAAACGCGCGGCCACCAAAGGGCTCTGCGGGGCGGGCTCCGGGTGTGCAGGCGGGGCTCCCTCTTCTATACTGCGGAGTGCGAGGCTGGTCCAGGCGCCAGAGGAAACCAGTTCCAAGCTAGCTGGCTAAGCTCCTTTCCTTCCTACAAAGGCTCAGATTTCTCAAGGCAGGGGAAGGCCTAGGGGCCCAGACGGGTGGGTTCCAGACAAAAGGTGGGCCTCCTTCTTTCTTATCCCATGCCATACAGGGCAGACTGAGAGGACCAGAGCTGTTCGGAACAGCAAGGAGCTCCTGCCAGCTGTCACCTCCCAGAAGCTTCCCTTCCTGCCACATCCTCCCTCAAACCCATCTCACCGCTTCCAAAAACTTCCCTTCCAGCCACAGCCTCCCTCAAACCCGTCTCAGATCCACTTCCCAGAAGCTTCCCTTCCTACCACAACCTCCCTCAAACCCATCTCACCCAGGACTGCAAAGCTCCTTCTTAACTTCCCTGTCTGGTCCCCAAATGTCCTCTTTCCATTCTCTGGGAAGTCATTATCAGTTGCTTCTTTGTACCATACTAGTTGTATCCTTATTTATTTTTTTTTTTTTAAAGTAAGTTTTCACTGTTTCATTTGCCATGTTTTTGGAGTAGGGGGAAAGGAGATTTATAAAAATGGATACCAGAGAGACAGACTGCCAGGAAACCAATCGTAACTGCAAAAATGAGTTGTTCGGGGTCAACAAATGGAAATACATTATTGGTGGTGGTGTTAGGTACCATTGAGTCCAGTACAACTCATAGCATCCGTACAAACAATAGATCTGAACTCTGCGCTATTATGGGCAATCCTCATTATCTCTGACACACTGCTTAAGTCGCCGTGTCAATCCATCTCATTGGACATCTTTTTCTCTTTCATGGACCCTCCATCTTTCCAAGCATGATGTCCCTTTCCAAAAACAGGCTTGCCTGCCTATATATTTAAAAAAATGCTGAACAAATGGATTGTTGTTGTTGTCGGTTGTTAAGTGTCGTGTATGAACCATAGCAACCTTATGAACAACATATCTGAACCCTGTCCTATCCTGCACCATCCTCACACTTCTGACACACTAAATCCTATTGCAGCTGTCACTCTCAGTCCACCTGGTTAAGGGTCTTCCTCTCCTTCACCAATCTGCTGCCTTTCTGAGCATCTCCAAGGAATAACCCTCATCCTGGCAACATGCTCAAAGTATGTGAGGCAAAGCTTTATCTTCTTTGCCTCCAAGGAGAACTTTGACTGCATTCGCTCCAAGACATACTAGTTTGTTCTTTTGACAAACCATGGGATGTTCAGCACTCTTCTCAAACACCACAGCTCCAAGGAATCATTTCGTCAATCATGTTTACTCATTGTCAAGCTCTCAGACGCATAGCAACTGACATAAAGACCATGGCCTGAATCAGATGCCCTCTGGTCTTCAAACTAATAGCATTTCTCCTTAATAATTTGGAGAGGTCTCCAACTGCAGATTTTTCCAGTTCAGTACATCTCCTAATTTCCTGACTACTGGTACCCAGGGTGTTGATTGTGGATCCAAGTAAGATAAAATTGAGATTTTTCAATCTTTTTTAGTTCGCGCCCCTCAGGCCAGTCTTTCATTGTTTTTGTTCAGACATTCCTCTAGGTCGTATAGCCCTGGTGTACAAGTTGCCATCCTGCGGTCACTTGTGGTTGCTGTGAGGCTGAACATTGTGACACGGATGTGTCAAATGCGTTAATGGTTGGCTACCCAATGCGGACTGAGAGTGGGGTGAGCTCCCCGATTAAACAAGCGTGGAAGGAGGGGTGGCATCCACTTCCATAACAGCTTGCCTCCGGAAACCCTATGAACTTGGAGAGAGGATGAAAGGCACCCAAGCGTCAAGGACTCTCCTTCATAGAGTCGCTATGAGTCACCTGCGACTCGACGGCACTTAACAACAACAACAACATCATTTTTTTTGTTTTCTTGATATTTAGATAGAATCCCTATTGAAGGCTGTATTCTATGATCTGCAACAAGTGCTTCAAGTCCTTCTCACTTTCAGCAAGCAAGGTTGTGTCATCTGCATAACATCTGATCTTGATGGCACATTCTTCTTCACAGAATTCAGCCTTTCAAATATTTTGCTCAGCATACAGACTGAATAGGTATGGAGAGAAAATACAAACCGGATACATTCACTTCTTAATTTTAAACCATGGAAGACCCTGGATGAGATTAATTGATACAGTAACTGGGGAAATGGAGGTAGGTTTGTGGGAATCAGTGAGATTGGCTCAGGATAGGACAGGCTTCAGAGTTGTTATTAATAGGGTTGCTATGAGTTGCTGGCGACTCAAAGGCACATAATAACAATGTTCCCTTAAAGACTGAATAATACATCAACAGAGAACTATCAGAAGTACAGGCTGGGTTTAGAAGAGGCCATGGCACTAGGGATATCAGTGTTAATGTCAGATGGATCTTGGCTGAAAAATGTCTGTCTCTATTTCACTGACTATACAAGATCATTTGATTGTGTGGATCACAACAAATTGTGGTTAACCTTGAGGAGAATGGGAATCCCAGAGCACTTGATTGTGCTCATGTGAAACCTATACTTGGACCAGGAAGAAGTCATCAGAAAACAGCAAGGAAACACAACATGGTTCCAAATCAGGAAAGGTGTGTGTCAGGGATGTATCCTGTCTCTGTACCTCTTTAATCTATATGCAGAACAGATCATTCAGGAGTCTGGTTTTTATGAGAAGGAATTTGGCATCAGAATTGGAGGAAGACTCAACAACAACTTGTGTTAGGAAGATTACACAACCTTGCTTGCTGAAACTGAAAAGAACCTTAAGTATCTGCTGAAGAAAGTCAAGGACTACAGTCTTCAATACGGACTAATGTTCAAAATCAAGAATACAAAGATTCTCAGCACTGGGCCAAAGGGTAGCATCATGATAGACAAAGAAGAGACTGAGATTGTTCTTGGGTCCATAATTAACAACACTCTTAGAACCAGAAGCCAAGGAATAAAGACAAACTGGATTAGGAAAGTCGGCTATCAGGGACCTCTCCAGAGTGCTGAAGTGCAAAGATGTCAGTCTAGTGACTAAGAAGTGCCTGATCCAGGCCACAGTCTTTGCTATTATTTGCTATCCACAGAGAGCCGGACAGTGAATAAGGATGACAGAAGAAGAACTGATGCCTTTGAGTTGTGGTCTAGAGAAAAGTATTAAACATACAACAGACTGCCAAGAGAACAGACAGGTTTGTCCTGGAAGAGTGAAACAAAGTTGCTCTCTGGAGGCAAAGATGATGAAGCTCCACCTCACATACTTTGGGCATGTTGCCAGGAGAGACCAGTCCTTAGAAAAACACATCATGCTTAGAAGGGTACAGGGACAACATAGGAGAGGAAGACTCTGGATGAAATGGATTGAGTCAGTGACTGGGATAACGGGAAGGTATGTCAGAGGCAGTGACATTGGCTCAGGTTAGGAAATGTTTCAGAGCTATTGTACATGGGGTCACAATGAGTCACAGGTGACTGATGGCACCTAACAGTGTTCCCTAACTCTGTTCAAACAGCAGCCTCTTGGTCAAGGTACAGGTTTTACATGAGAACAATTAAGTGTTGCAGACAGAAGGTAAAGGATATTATTAATAATGAGACAAAACACCAAGAATGAGATGAAACAGCATAAAAAACAGGGGGCCATCAACTCAAGTGCCACAGACACACCTCTCCGTGTATTTATTGAGAATCAGAGAAGCAAATCATAAATAGAATTCTCTTGTAAATGTATCCAAAATTTTCTCTATTGCAATCTGATACTTAGTTCAGGAAGGAACTATTTCAAACATAGTCCACTCCCTCTGCAGGGGTACCCTAGCTGTCTCTTGTCTGGAAACAGCTCATTTTCTGTGATCTGGCACAAGAGAAATTCCAACTTATAAATTTGTTACTTCTTCAATTCCTTAATAAGCATATGGTTTTTCATATAATATTTGGTATGAACTTTGGCTTCCCATAAGTAAATGCTCTATGATCTCTGTTCTTTTCAATGTTAGTGTTAACTTGTTATGATCCACACAGTCAAAGGCCTTTACATAGCCAATAAAGTATAGACATTCGTCTGGTGGTCTTTCCTTTCAGCCAGGATCCATTCGCCACCACAATAATACACTTGGTGCCATGGCCTCTTCTAATCCTGCATAGGGCAGCAAAATATGACTAGAGTAAGAAGAAAGCCAGTAACTAGTATTGTTGAAATCCTATTGTTGTTGTTAGCTGTCATACAGTCAAGTATGACTAACAGCAACCCTACAAAAAACAGATGTGCATCCTATCTCAATCTGTGCCATCTTCATCATCACTGACATTCTTGGGTCCACTGTTGCCGTCACTGCATCAGTTCATCTCATTGAAGTTCTTCCTCTCTTTTGCTGATTCTTCCAGCTTTAGAAACATGAGTATCCCTTTCCAAGGAATAGCCTCTCTTAGAAACGTGCATG